AAACAACTTAACAAGCCGACCAAGCTTTGGGTTTTGCCCCCCCCCCCCTTTTGAAAAAAACCTTGAAATGACGCCCCTGGTTAAAACTCATCTCTATCTGCTGACTGTTATTCTGCCTTTGGCGCAGCCGCAACAAATAGACAACAATCCACACATATGTATTTCTTTATTAACCAATTAATTGGACAAACCAGAAGAAAAAAAAAAAAAAACCCAATGCTCAAACAGATAGTAGATCTTAATTCTCAGATCGCCAACTCAAACCAAATGTTTGCACAAATGTATTTTATCCGTGCCACCCACCCCCCACCCCCCCCCTTTTTTTTTTTAACTTTTCATTTTAAGATTCTAATTGTTTTGTTTTTTTGTTGTTGTTTTTTTAAGTTCTAAATTAATTTCAAGTGGAGAGAGGTTCAAATCGCCGCCACAAGAAAAAGAAAACACATTTCAATAATGATACACACAAAATATTAAAATATTAAATAAATGAAACGCATAACAAAAGTTTTGGAATGGCTAGTAGTTGTAAATATTTATTAGTAATTATGCAGGCGGAATCTTCGTTTTCTTTCATAATTTTAGAAATATTGAGTTGTTTCCTTCATTCTTGTTGACAAATTGTTAGAGGAGGTTATGGAAAAAAAATCTCTTAACTAATAAATGTATTGAAATGTCCCATAAGTGTGCCTCAGATTCTCACCGGTCGCTCCCACCACCATGTGGCCACACCTACCACAATAGGACCACACCCTCCACAATACCCCCAACCACCGCAGTGTGACCACACCCACCACAATAGGACCACACCCACCACAATAGACCACACCCACCACAATAGACCACACCCACCACAATAGACCACACCCACCACAATACGGCCACACCCACAACAATTACGGCCACACCACCACAGTATGACCACACCCACCACCATACGGCTGTGAATTGCAAGTTGTGCGTTGTTGAGAGTGCAATAGAAATGTTTGTTTTTGTGTGTGTGTGCGCGCGCGCGCGTGTGTGTTTAAAATAATAGAAAGGGATCTAATAAAAGGGAACATTTGACATTTGAACTTCAGTCCCACTTAACGATAAACATTAAATGCCATGAGATGCCATGAGATGGCATTTGGTTTTATGATGCAGGGGTCTACAATGAAGACGATGTTATCACGAGGAGCTGTAAGCTAGTTGTGCTGTGCTACAGCATGGCTGCAGCGACGGAAAAATATAGAGGTGCTGTAATGAGTGAGCCAGTGCATTATAATAGAGAAACAGGGCCGGCGCCAGAGTATTTGGCACCCTAGGCGAACCTGTCACACTGCGCCCCCCACGCCCACGGCAACTAATTATTTAATTAATAGTGCCGCCCCCTAAAAAAATTTCCGCCCTAGGTTCGCCTACTGGTTAAACCCGGCCTGTAGAGAAATGAACAAAGTGGCAAGGGCTGTATCATCCGTTCAGCAAGGAGAGCAACTTTGTTGACGTCCCTGGGCGAACGGGACCACGGACCTGAGGCCTTGCATTCTGAGGAAATTACATTCTGTCTTTCATAATTTTTCAAAGTTATTTCTTAGTCGGCTCCTTTAAAATACTTTTTTTTCCCAATCGCATTAGCTACACAAATACCAGTGTTCAAACAGTTGTACTAGTATTGGTACCAAATACTTTGTATCAGTAGCCCATCATTTTTACTAGTGGCCAGACAGTTGTACCAGTAGCCCATCATTTTTACTAGTGGCCAGACAGTTGTACCAGTAGCCCATCATTTTTACTAGTGGCCAGACAGTTGTACCAGTAGCCCATCATTTTTACTGGTGACCTGTCAAAGCGTTGCTGAGTTCTCACTCTTAGACGACTGACGAAGACTCGCTGCCCCAGGCCAACCTCCCTCCCCCCCCCCCCCTTTCCAATCATTAATTTTTGACCCCCCCCCCCGGGCCAACCCCCCCCCCACATTTTTACTAGTGGCCAGACAGTTGTACCAGTAGCCCATCATTTTTACTTGTTGCCAGACAGTTGTACCAGTAGCCCATCATTTTTACTGGTTACCTGTCAAAGCGTTGCTGAGTTCTCACTCTTAGACGACTGACGAAGACTCGCTGCCCCAGGCCAACCTCCCTCCCCCCCCCCCACCTTTGCAATCATTAATGTGTGACCCACCACCCGGGGCCAACCTCCCCACCTTTGCAGTCATTAATGTGTGTTCCACGACCGGGGGTCAACCAGGTCAGGAGACCGAAAATGCCGCGCCCCAAAAAGTGCCACCCATGGCAAACAACCTTCATGCGCCACATGGATTTGATAAACCAAGGTGTCTCCAATGATACTTCAAAATTTGTAAGATTTCGTAATTAAAATATCCTGTACAGAAACACACCATGTCCAACAGAGATTTTAATTTGTTTTGTCGCTGGTTGCTGAAGTTAGGCCAGCTTTTTAAATAATTTAGTAAACAATATGGCGGCTATCTTTAATTATCATTTCTGCACATCCTCTATTGAAAATCAATAGTGAGCTATTTATTATAATATATCTAGATATTGTTAATTTTTTATTCAGAACATGCTTTTGAATATTATATTATAGTAATATTTTGGAGGGATATTTCTACGATATGTTATGTCTGGTCTATTAGATTAGTGTTTGGATTCGGATTCCCTGCGCCGAGACATTTCTAGATGAAAATATGATCTCTATGCTATGCTCTATCTATCTATTCTATATCTAAGTAAACCAAACCTTACTTTACTCACTCATACTCTTAATACTAACTTACTAGTCTTACTCAGTTACTCGTGAGTCTTGTTGTCAAGACTTTGTCAGTCTTCAACTTATCATGATTAATAGTGTTATCATCAGTTATGCTTATATAACTTATGATTTCATGAATAATCATCAATATGAGTACGAGTTTCATGATTGATGTTGTTTCTCACAAAATGATTCATCGGGCCTATTTGATTTTGAAATATTTGATTTTGATAATTAATAAGTGGTCTTATATAGCACGGTACCCCAGCCTAGGGCTGGGCTCACCGCGCTGTACATACAAATATTATCAAAAGAGACATAATCATGACATTAAAATAAAATACATTTAAATTTATGAAATAAAGAACAGCACAAAATGTATATTCATCCATCCCACCCCATAACTTTTACAAGGCAAACCATGGACGGCAGCCAGCAAGATCGTTTATCGATCAGAGGAGTGAAATCATTCCGGGTAGTATAATTTGAAGAGATGTGTTTTGAGTGCAGTTTTGAAGGCCTGGGTGGTTGGTATCTTGTGTATGTGTAGTGGCAAAGAATTCAAGAATATTCAGATTGCTGAGCGTCAAAAAATTAATTCTCAGTTATTTAATTAATTTAAATAATTATTTCATTAAAATAAAATTATACTAGTTAATTAAGTTGGTTGACTTACAGTAACTTACACTTACAGTTACTCTTCTGAGACTGAGTCTACTCTTCTTTGTCTTGTTATAATATTTATATTATAGGCTAACGGTACGACATTTTAAATTATTATGAAGAAAATGACTAATAAATGATATCATTATTCTGTGCCATTAGTGACAGTATATTATTATATATGAAAATTAGTTTAGGCCTATTATTTTTATTATAATTAATTATGATTATAGCCTTCATCTACTTCGACACTAGGTCTAGTATTTAAACTAGTAGAAATTCACAATGCCAGCCAATGCTATTCTATAATACTATAGACTAGACTATATATCAGTTATATTTACCATTTGGCATGTTAACAAAATAATTGCTGTTAACTATTGGAAGTAGGCCTATATGAATATTGACTTAACATTTTATTAAAGTGTGAGAGTGAGTGTGTTTGTCTTTCAATGCACTCAAATCTCAATGACTCATTTTCACTAAATAAAATATGACTTTAAAATTGCATAGTGTTAACAATAACTCTAAGAAGTCTAAAAGTCTTAGTCAAAGATCACAGAATTATCACGAGTTGAAAACATCATGATTAATGTCAGCAATGTGTAAGCCCTAACTACTTTATCAAATACCTATTAACATTGGTATCAATAAATCTATTTGAATTGTTACATTATGTAAACAGGAAAAATATTTTGTTTTGCTGATTATAAATCATTATTTAATATTCAGTTTTATCATAACCAACAAGGTTAGTCATCAAAGACCTGAAAAATCATGATGGAGACCATATCAGCAACAGAAACGTCATAAACCAAGAATCCAAGTCTTGAAAGAATGATGTGGGAGCACACTGTTGTGTTAGCTTTACATTTTGTTAATTTACATACTCCAATACTAGCCTACCCAGGAGAAGAGCACCCTGTGATTGGTACATTAGCTGGAGATGTTCAGAACTGGGCCATGCTAATCCAAAATTATATTTTACAGGTAGCCTATTTAAATAAGTTGTTGATTGAAAATAAATTTGGAGATGAGTCAGATTTTACAATAAAAGCTGCAAAATTTGACATGCATAATGGCCATTAATGTTACATTTTTTAAATCAATCTCTGAAGTAAAATTTGAAAACAAGTTTGAAATTCATATAGTTTTACCATGAATACTTAGAGATAATGGAAACTGGTTTCTCTGGAGTCCTCAGTAAATTTCTCTTGCATTTTAATTTATAAAACTAGAAAAAAAAATTGTTCTCCATGCTCATTTTTGTCTATGAATCATAAATTAATTTTTAATTGAATCCACTTAATGTTTTTAAAAATGCACAGTTGGCTAATGATGGAATTATGAGGGATGCAACCCAAAGTTTCTTGGATGAGGCCACCTATATTTCTGAAAAAAAAGATGGTGGTGAGCTTGTGAGACTTGTCAATGATAGCCTAGGAGAATATTTCCGTAAAAAGACTTCAGCTGCCACGGTAATTGTTCATAAAATTTAATTCAATACTGCTTTTGGATAGGGTCTACATTTAATTTTCTGAATCCTCTTGACTGAAACTTTAGATCACATTTTGAATTCATCTTCAATGGTTACAACCTTACATATTGGTTCTTTTAAATCTCCTCTGGTATTCAATCTGCTAAGAAATTTAAAAAAAAATGAAATAATTTGAATGCCATAGACACTGATTTTTTGCTTTGTTTCAGGCCCTAGTGGAAAAAGTAAGAGAACTTTATGATGAGTTCTATGAGCAAAATCAAAGTACAAATGCAAAATTTTTGAACGATCTACCTCCAGACACATATTATGAGTCTGATATTCCTGATAAACTACCAAAAGACTTAGCTTTTAGTCCGTATGTATTTCTTAGTTGTTTTCATAACTCTGACTAATTTGTTTGTAGTTAAAAATTTCACAATTAGTCAATAACCTTGTCACTGAATCTTTAAGTAATCTCCCATACTTTAACTGGTTGGGTGTTATTCTGTAGCCCTGAATATATCATGGTGTGAATAAAATTGTAGAGTTCTTAGCTCTAGTTATCGGCGCAAGTTCGCAATGAAATTCATATTTTGTAATTATACTAGGTAGTAATTCCTCATTAGTACTTTTCTTTAAACACTTAAGTATAGAACTGTACGATAACAAAGGTGTACGATATAAAGTGTATTTGAAATTGCATTTGGGTTAATTTACTTCAAATCTATTTAGGTACTTCCGACAAAAGGTTAGCAAGCTTAACTCAACTATTAAGGTTGCTGATGAAGTACCACGAGATGACCCCCATGTCATTGATGCAGTTTTGTTTACAAAAAAACTTGAGGAAACTTTTCTTCAGAATGCTGCTAAAGATCCTTTACTCAGGTTAAAATATTTCAAATGCCAGTGCAAAATTTTATTGTATTACTTTTGGGGGGGGGGGGGGGGGGAAATCATTCTACATTTAATATTAGATAGGTACAAATTTGGCATATTGTTACAATTATTTAAAAAAATTAATTATATTTTGTATGAAATAAAAAAATATTTTGTTTACTTACATTTATGGGAAAAATAAGTGTCACTTTTAAAAGACAACATGTTTTCAGGGCACATGTAAATTATTTTAATACGCATATAGTTTATTAACATCTATTAAAAGGGATATAAAACAGAACTGAATTAATGCTTTATAGAACTTTAAAATGTAAACATCTTTTTTTAAAAAAGGTATAGACCTTTAAAATGTAAGAATCTTTTAAAAAAAAGTATTAAAAATTAAGTTAGCTTGAAATTAGAATTTTCTGTCATTCTTAGATCTTGACTTATAATTGTGTTTTATTGTGCATAGTGGGTCTTGAGCCTAAGTTTCATGATGAATGTCCTTGGCCCCCATGAGGCTTGTGACATATACTTGACATGATTATCTGTATCGGTAACATAGTTTCTAGACCAGCCTGGAGTACGAGTTAGTGATTGGCAGTTGCTGTCTGAGCCGTGAATGGGAAGGTTGGATTGTATGCCGCTAGTGACTTGCACTATATATTGTAAGGAAACCTTGCTTACTCTCTAGCTAAACTTCATCTAGATCTGGTACTCAATAAGGAAACAACTCCGGTGATATATTTGATGATTAAACACGTGTTCTTTATTGGCTGTCACTTGCTTACACTTTCACTCGTCTCACAACTCTGACTTCTCCCTGCTATCTAGTTCTCAGTCCGGCCGCCTTCTACATACCATCCGGCCGCGCTCTCTTTTTCGTCCCGTCCAGAGATCCCTATTTATACCTCCCCGTCCCATAGTTCCTCTCCCAGTCCAGATTATACCCCGCCCCCTTTTTCTCAATTGCCGCCATGGTCTAGACGTCCCAGGTAAATGCCCTGGTCAGATGGATGGCCGATACCGCCCCCAGCGCTTGATCCTTCGGTCGTGTCTGGGTGTCAGACGGCCGTAAATGGTCAGGCGTTTGATCCTTGGGTCGTGTCTGGGTGGTCAGACGGCCGTAATCCCTGATGGCCGGTAACTGTCTGGCGCCGGCGCTGGTGCGTGGTCCGAACGTGCGTGGTCCGAACTCTCCACAATATTATATGTTTGAATTATTGTAGGACCAGATTAATACTTACTTGGATTAAAGTTTACGTTGTTCTTTGCATAGGACTTTTGTTTAATTTTAATGTGATTATGATGCTTGAACATGTAAATTTTTTTGACGAGAGAATCTCAATCATACAGACTCATCACTCTCGATAAATAAAACTCCATCTAATTTCAGTGATCCCTGGAATAATTTTTTGTCTCTTGTCTAAATATGAAGTTAATTAATTAAAGTGAATTTATTTTTAAAATATAAAATTATTTGAAATTTTAAAAATTCAGTACTGTTATAATCCAATGCCTATGGCATCAAAGTAAGCAGTAGCCACACACTGTTTTCCTAGCTTAACCAAAGAATTTGAAAGCAGTGATATGGAACGTATAAATCGGAGACATTAAATACAATTTTTGCTTCTTCTTTCAGGTGGCAGTATTTCGGTTCAGTGACAGGTGTGACACGGTTGTTCCCAGGACGAGAGTGGTCCACCAATTTTGCTGGGTTTTATGATGATTATGATCCCAGAGTGAGACCATGGTACATCCAGGCCACCAGTGGTCCAAAAGATGTCATCATAATTCTCGATTGCAGGTTGTTTTAGCCATGTGTGGATTTTATTTTTAGCTGGAAATAATTTTTGGGTTTTAACCTTCTAGCCCAAAATTGTTAATCCTTTTTGGAAATCTGCTTGGTTCAATTGATATTTCATTATAATTAAAATTGTTCAAAAATGGGTCAAAGGCTATATCAATTAAATTAATATAATTTCCAAAAATCGATTATTTTTGGATATTATAATTAAAGTGAAATATTTGTTCAAGACAATATTTCATTCTTTCCAGGCTTAAATATTTCTTTAATGAAGACTGAAATTAAAAATAATTAAGTTTTTATTTCTAATCTGAGAATGCTGAATTTTCATTACTGTGTCCATCTTCATTTTTTTTAAGTGTCATCATTGTACTCCATTCTTCTTTTCTTGAACTTTAGGAAAATAAATCAACAAAATATTGCTTCAATAATTTATTTTTTTTCTATAAAAATTGTTAGTTTATCCATGAGAGGCGAAAAGTTTTCCATAGCTAAGGCAGTGGCCAAAACTGTGATACATACTTTGACCAAACAAGATTACGTCAATGTCATCTGTGCCAGGAATAGCCACTGGAATGAAGTGGGGAAGTAAGTGGACTGTTTAATTCAAAACTATTGACTTTTCTTAGAGCACATCAATGGGAGTGCTTGATTCATTATTCCATGATTGAAATTGTCCATTATAAGCATAAGAAGAAAAATAACTCTTAACACACTGTTAATAGTCTGAAGATCTCTCTTAATTCACATATGATTTGGGTTCCTTTATTCTTCTGCTTATTATAAATGTACAATGCAATCATTGTATTTGTTAGTAAACTGAAAATGTACAATGCAATCATTGTATTTGTTAGTAAACTGAAAATGTACAATGCAATCATTGTATTTGTTAGTAAACTGAAAATGTACAATGCAATCATTGTATTTGTTAGTAAACTGAAAATGTACAATGCAATCATTGTATTTGTTAGTAAACTGAAAATGTACAATGCAATCATTGTATTTGTTAGTAAACTGAAAATGTACAATGCAATCATTGTATTTGTTAGTAAACTGAAAATGTATTTGTTAGTAAACTGAAAATGTACAATGCAATCATTGTATCTGTTAGTAAACTGAAAATGTATTTGTTAGTAAACTGAAAATGTATTTGTTAGTAAACTGAAAATGTACAATGCAATCATAAAACATTTCCATTTGTTTGGATCAATAAAAGAATCTTAACTTATCTTAAGATAGGGTTCTTGTAGCTAGGAATTAGATATCATCCAAATATTTTGTGGGCAGGCCCCTAAAAATAGCTTTGCCCATTTTAGATTCAGAATGAAATTGCAGGATTTAATATTCCACCATTTTCTTGATAAAGGAAAAAACAAAAAATTAAACTTCAAGTCAGAATAAAATGTTTATAAGTATTTAAAAGGGCTTTAAACATTTTAAGTCTAAAACTAAAAAAATATTCACTCCGAGTCAGTAAACAAAGTGTTTTATGGATTATGATTGAAATACTTGATAGGATAGTAATGATAGGTACCCTATCCTTCCATGAAACAGGTGGCACTATTTTGATACCCAAGTACTGAGCTGTCAAGAGCAAAGGATGGTCCCGGCCACAAATGCTCACCGCAAAGATTTGATAGAAAAAATTGACAAGCTTAAGGCAGGGGGGACAACTGAATTAGAGTAAGTTATCTAATGCGTTCTAACTTAAAATTACTATATGTTAACGTTAATCAGTTTTTTTTATTTTAAGAAATAGAATTATCCCAGCTTAGGATAGACTCGTGATAATTGTATGAATTTTTCCCAGGAAAGGTTTTGACCGGGCATTTGACCTCCTGAGAAGTGTGCCTAGAACCGGATGTCAGTCTATCATAGTTTTTGCCACGGATGGTAAAGATACAGATGGGGAGGACGTGAGGTGTGGGCCTGGTAAGTGTGGACGTGATCTCGGCCGCTGTGCACATTGGATTTAGCCATTAAAATAGAAGTTAAACAATGTGAAACCCATGAAGTTGTGATCTCGGCCGCCGGGCACATTGGATTTAGCCATTGCATAGAAGTTAAACAATGTCAAATGCAAGAATTCGGTTGTTGCTTAACCCACGAACTGTGGTCGTTCTGTACTGTGGCGGCCGAAAAAATCGGCAGATAAAAAACACGGTCTGATAGCAAGTTCCAATCCAATATTTAACTGGAATTATTTTATTAATAATTAAATCATCTTCCGGTTTAAACTGTTTCATTGATAACTTGAAAATAAATACTTTTTAATCAGAGTTTTATATCGCTGATTTTTTTAAAGCTAAAATGAATGACGCCATGGCTGGGGTCATTCAGTGCAAGAACTAATAGAAATATGGTTGAAAGCCATGGCTGGGGTCATTCAGTGCAAGAACTAATAGAAATATGGTTGAAAGCCATGGCTGGGGTCATTCAGTGCAAGAACTAATAGACATATGGTTGAAAGCCATGGCTGGGGTCATTCAGTGCAAGAACTAATAGAAATATGGTTGAAAGCTTTTTTGGTGAGGTTTTAAGTGATCCTGATGATGATTTTAGCATTCCCCATGACGATATCAGTTGAGATTATTCTTCTCGTGAATTTTATACTCGTCTTAGTGATACTAAAGTAGGCCTACTGAGGTTACTGTTAGACTTCGAGCCAGGCCCGGAGGTTGGGCAAGGACGAACTGAATATAGTCATAGAAGCTACAGATTATAGTTCAGAACTAATAAATTTTATAGTTAAACAACCCAAATCAGTTCCACAGTTCCTTTTTAAATGTTAAATAGTCAATAATAACTATTTTGCCTGAGATTTTGTATTTTGTGCTTGGTTCTAGCAGTGGTCCCAGTTTCTTATATAAATGATCTAAAATTACTAAAATTGCTTTCAGAGGTTTAATTGCAATCAAAACCTTAGCAAACTATACATTTTCTTAAAGATAAATGAATTGCCAACAACATTTACATTGTGTTTTAAGTGTATCTATAAAAACTAATGATTTATGAGCACTTGAAAGCAAGACATTTTGTCAATTTTTTTTTTCTTGAGAGCTCCAAGGTCAAGGACATTGAGCAAAAGTTTTTTACGGGGTGGGCAATATGGCCAACGTTATCTCCATCCATTTACCTTTCTAAAAATATAATCTTAGTGGGGTCTTGTATCAATATTTCTATGTCATTTAATGCAATTTCAAATGGCACTCCAAACGCTCTAAGAAGCTCCACACCACAGAATGATACATGCCACAGTTCGTGGGTTGACTATTTGGGATCAGATAAATATTTAATAGGACAGGAATTTGATTGAGCTCAGTAAGAAATGCTCAAATGCCTCCTGCTGTTGTGGACAAGATATTGTGCGATGAAATGTAATACAGTGCTGTTTAGTGGCAAAATGTAATGCAATACTGTGTAGGGATGAAATGTAATACAATACAATACTGTGTAGTGATGACTGATATACTCTCTTACTTAGTGGTCATTCATTGATATTATCTAAGATTTTTAATGCATTAAATAAGTGAAGCTCATGATTGATATAAAATACATTTGATGCTAATCTTTCCTCCAGGCTACTACACTCGGAGTGGTTATGTGCCTGGACCTATATGCAAGTACAACTTTACATCTGTCTACAGTGTGGCCGTGGAGAAAAACAAATACCTGCTTCCCAATGTAAGCCTAGCCAGAACACTCAAAGATTACTGCTTCAAATGATACATTCTGGAAAAAACATTGCATATTAATGGAAAAAACAAATATTCTTAATTTATTTCCTCATTTATGGATTAATTAATTATTTTATTATTATTATGATGTATTAAGTATACGTCTGATATTTTACATTAACAGTAAAGACTTATGATATTATTTTACATTGATTCACTAGTTGAATTTGCCATGGGTTTTTGGGATAATAATAAAGCTTATTTGAAAATCACGCTTCATCCCTAAAGCTCGTAGCGCGGTACAAAGTCATCCATCTTAAAAAGAAAGGAAAAATTTATATTTAACCACATTGAAATACAAAACGCAGTCTTTCCTTGCAACCATAAACAACACAGGCCACTTTACATCTAGGAGATAATAGTTAGCTGGAAAAGATGGTAGAAAAATGGTAGATGCAATAGTTCCATTTGCCATGTGTTTTTGGGATGTGATAGTTCATAGAGCCGGATTTTTTGAAAGAGCTAGTTGATATTGTGAAATAAACATTTTAAAACTGTGTTATTTCAACAAATGTATTTCACTGACTACCCCTGATGTTTGTATTAACCAATTAAGAATCCAATATTTGCTCTATTAGAATATGCCTCTCAGTGTGTAGAATTAACTTTTTATAATTACAAGTTATTACTGGTAAGGAACCTATTTTGTCTTAATTCACCAAACACTAAATATGTTAACTCTTTCGCTGCAGAATTTTTTTAAAGAAAAAATGTACATTTTTTTTCGAAGAGCGAAAAAGAGTGAGAGGTTGAGTTTATTAAAAAATATTTAAAACATTATTCTTTGGTTTATAAGACTAAACTTGGTATCAAATGAAAGATAATTGAAAGGACTATATGTTTGTAAAATTATTTCTTTAGTTTAAATAAAATAAGTTACAGAAAAGAACCACTTTTTTTTCCCCAAGCCCTATGATGTACGCATAACTCATCTTCACTTCTATAACTCAAGTCCTATAACACTACTACTATCGGAATCATGCGATGGATCTAAATATAAATCATCTTCACTATCAAAAGAAATAGTATAAATCTATTCCAAAGCTTTTTGAGATGTTAATCGTCTAGGAAACTTACTCACCTACTTGGGCCTATGGTAGCCATAGCAACAGAAGAAAAAAAAAAGCGAAGAAAATCATTAAAATAATGCTTCAAATGACAACAAATAAGCCTTGGTTTCGCTGATAAACAATGAAGTACCACTCTTCTATGTTAAAGACTTACTTAAAAATAGCTCTTAAAAAGTTAAACCGAGAAATAGTAAAGAAACAAACATGATATTGAAACAACGCACAGCGTTTTGGTCCATGCATTTGAGAATGGCAGATGAACGCAGTGTGAGTTGTTCCGCGTCGAAAGAGTTAATGAAAAATCATCTTTCAACAAATGGTTGAATTTAGCATTTTCAAGCTTTGTTGTGTGGTTTTAAAGATGCATTTTTGCCCACTTTTTATGATGCATTTCATTGCCTTTTGATGTTTTTCATTGCCTTTTGATGTTTTTCATTGCCTTTTGATGTTTTTGAGTTCTATCTTTAGTTTTATCTTACCATACAGTCGTCATCAGGGGAACACTTCCCTTTTTCACAGGCCCGAATTTTCAGCTACCTCATTGTAGAAGATGCCGAGATGTTCCCCGGGACCTTGGCATGTGACCACAACGGCAGCCTGCTCAAACTACTTACCGGGGAGAATCTGATCACCCAGATGTCTAACTATTTTGAGTTTTTGTCCGCCATGGCGGTGACCGGGAGCACGTTGTGGACCTCTCCTTATTTGGACTCGTGGGGACTGGGTTTGATGATAACTCATGCTGTGCCTGTCACAAGTAACAAAACTGGAAAGTGAGTGCACAACAACTTGGACAAAGTTTTATGCCAACAGAACAAAATTCCTTGAAATAAATGGAAAGCAAAATAAATGTCATAGCTGCCAGTTAGGATCAATAAATATAACAAAGTAAAACATTGATTTACTTAGCTTCTCTATAAAAATAACGACACCATCTTACAATCTCTTCAACCACCTTCCCCTTTTCCATAAATTTTCCATAATTTTCATTTTGTATTCCAGGTACATTGGAGTTGTTGGTGTTGATGCAACACTGGATGAAATTGAAAATTTCCTAACCAAACATCAGTGGGGATCTGTTTACTCTTTCCTGATCAACTCTAAAGCAGGAGTTGTCTTCCATCCTAGGCTTAAACCAAGCACAAAAGTAAGCCCTTGGCATCTTCATTTACTTTGCTTGGAATGTTTAATTTGATTGGGGGAGTACTGCATTCAAAAAAACATTTAGATTTTTAGATTATTAAAGGTGAATATAAAAAAAAAATGTCTTTAGATTGTGTTAACAGTTATGTACATGGATCACACTCGCAAATTTTGTTCCTAAAAAACTTTAAAATGGTCAAATTTGAGCGTCTACATAATGTTTTTAAAGTACAGAAAGACAAATAAGAATAAATGATTTAATAAAAATGATAAAATTTATCTTGCTATTTTGCTTTCAGAAAAAAATAGTGAGTTATGAGCATCATTTTGCTAATTTGAAGTGTGTGCATCAATAGAAATAAGAGCCTTACAGTAACCTTAATTTGATTTATCCTTTCTGTGCAGCTGCTGGAAGACCCAATCTACATCCCTATATCAGGACTGGAACAAGACAAAGACGGAAATCCTCCTGAGTTCTCTGAGATTGAAGAGGCCATGTTGCAAGGCAGGTCAGGCTCGAAGGTTATCAACAAGGCCAGAGATCAGAAGACAAGAGTGAGTACTACCTGTTATAATCACATCATTATCACTTATATGGAATACATAAATAGGCAATTGGAATGTACCTTCCCATCATTTCATGGCGGCTATTGATAAGATCACCAAATTTTTGGTCAAGTATAAATTTAAAAAAAAAAAAAACAACCAAAAACTTGTGAATGTTAGTTTTTAATTATTCACATTGTGAACGTCTTAAGATTATCCAACAGATCACCAGTGCTCTACTTGACTTGTTAAGAATATCTAACATATCAGTAGTTCTATACTGAACTTGTCAAGAGTATCTAAAAGATTGCCAGAACTCTACTGGACTTCTTAAGAATATCTAACAGATCACCAGTACTCTACTGGAGGATTATGTCACTTGACAACTCCTTAATATCTGTTATAATTAAAAACTTTGTCACAACATTACTTCTAACTTGAAAAGAAGGTTCATTTGTTTAAAAATATACGTTATTATAAAGAGATATTTGTTTTTAATGAATTTTGAACAATTTAATTTCAGACATTCTATTATGGGTCTATTATCGGTACTGAATATTCATTTGCTTTCAGTCTAGCGAGTGAAGATATGGTAAGTGCTATTATATATGCATTTTAAATAAACAAATTAAGACATTTTTTAAAATCATTTTTAACGTTATTCCTAAACAAAATTTCGGCTTAGAGATATTCCATGGTAGACCATCTTTCCCAGCAACTTCCCTTCTCATTATATAATAAACTTAAAGTCATGTTTTAACTGCTTTTTGCTGGGCGGCAGAATCATTACGACACAGGAAAAGCATGATGGTGATTTGGGCTGAAATCCCAGCAACATCAATTTTAACCCCCCACCCCTCATTTCACTTTTGGACGCTAATCAAAACAAAAAAAATTGAGATGTACTTGGTCATTTAAAAAAAAATTAAAAATTCTAGGACATTTACATCTACAATCAGATATGAGAGGCATGGGAAGTGTAAAGAATTTCAGTCAGGTTACAGCTACCAGAATAAATCTTGATACTGATTTAACAAAAAATAAACAATGATTATTTCTCCAGGAGTTCCGTCGCTCCCAAGAGCCTAAGGACAGGTCAAACATCGGCGTGAGCTATTACAACCTGCTTAAGATGTACAACACTTCCTTGCTGAGGGACAAGTTGAAAGGGACATTTGAAGTGATTGAGGTCAAACAGAATGATGAGAAGTACCCTGGACTAAGGGTGTCCTACAAACATTCAACAATATTCCTAGGTTGTTAGGCCATTTTATGCTCATCTTTGTTGCTCATCTCATATTTATAGAGTTTTGCTGTAAAAAAAAAGTGACCCGGTCATCTCCAGGAATGTTTACTATGAATTGTGACCTATTTGTTATTTAAAGATTTGTTATAGTGACATGCCTGAGCTGTCCCCAGCGACCTGTCTCCAATTGCATTTCAATCATCTTGCTTTCACCATACGTTGGGGGAAATGTCCATATGATATTCACCGTTCATTTACAATCCTCAGTTTCATGGCAATTCTTCTGACAACACGCTGTTTTGTTATGAAATTATAAACACACAGTGCGGTAGCAGACTCATTGGCAAAGCTAAAGGTCTGCACCATTCAATGGCTGGGGTAATTAAAAAACCACAGTTTTGTCCCCCTTGAGCATTTGAAAACATCATGCCTTGCCAAGGGTGAGTTAGGGCACAGGGCAGGGGCAGGGACAGCTCTATCTCAATGTTTGCTGTGTACAGGTTTCATTGTAGAGCAGCTAACTTTGTGGACATGCTAACATTTACATCACAAACTTTTACATTTCTGAGCACATTTTTGGACACACCCCTGTGAAGAAACTTATAATTAGGCTACAAACATGTGCATACATTTATTAAGCCACCAAATGACATAGATTTTATTATATGTGTGACATAAGAGTGACATAAATATGTCACAAGAGTGACACTAGAGTGACATAAGAGATCTATGTTGAATAAATCATTATTCAATGTCAACTTTAAAAAAAGAAAAAAAAGGTCACACATTTTTAATGCTAACTCATGCATATTGCTTATCCCCAAATTAATTGTTGATCTTCAATGCTTTGACCAGCACCCCAGAGCCACTGTGATCCCATCAGGTATTCTTACAATGACAGTCTAGAAGAGAAGACTCTGGATGCCCACCTGTGGATTAATGGCAAAGACCCGGATGTGGGCTGTGATGATGATAACACTGGACAGATGTATAACAAAGGCATCAGGTGAGGCTAAAATTTGCGTGCTACAATATTACTTAATTGAAATTAGCTCTAATTCATTTCACTAATTGGTAAAGAATATATTTAAAGTAACCGAGAGGAAGAATTAAACTTGAAAAGTAACATCAAATTTTACCATGCCTGTCCACGCCCACTCCAACAGAGCTGATGTTCTGATCACATACCCAATAGAGGAGATTTGGAAGACAAGAAACTTTGAGTCTCTTGATCAGGTCAAGTGGACAAATGTCGGCTTGAGAAGTGGAGTTTTTCGCACCTATCCTGGCCACAGGTCAACTAGAAATTATGACCCAACCCAGTGAGTCTCAAGCTGCTGTTAAAAGAAATTTTTTTAGGGCTAACTGCCAATACAATTCACTTTTTGCTTATATTCACAAGTCATTGACTAATTATAAAGATAGATAAGGTAATAAAAATAGATAAGGTATTTCATTAAATTTATGAATAGTAATCTCACTCACACTCCGGAAATGTAATCATATAAGCAAAATAATTATTATTTGTCTTAATATTAAATCTAATTTCCTCAACTATTTAACACAGACACAAAAATGGGGATTTTTTTTAAAGAGCCATTTTAGCAAAACGTTATTGACTGTACGACTACATACAAACTGAAACTGAAGTTCCTAAAAATAAATGTCTGTATTTGACCTCCTCAGACGACCTTGGTACAAGCGTACCAGCTCTGCCCCCCATAAAACATCTGTGTCCACCCCATACATGGACTCCGCAGGTGTCGGTAAAATCAACACAATCTCCCAGGCTGTGTTTGAGGGCATGACGCCTAAAACCGATGAAGAGTGCGCCAACTTCACCAAAGGGAAGCTGATGGGGGGATGTCACTGCGATGTGGACACAGATTGTTACATCAGTCAGTCCACTCATTTTATTGTCACATTTAAATGAAACCAATGATTGCTAATTGGAAAGTTAACATTTATGATTGCCAACTTATGAGACTAAGATTTATTTTAATGGGGGCATTCATATTATACATATACAAATTATGAGGGGGAGGGGTGTGCACTGCCATTAAAAAGCTTCAGTAAATGAATAAGTTGCAAACATATTTGACTTGGTTGAACTGATGAAGGCATCAGCCGAAATATTTTGTCTTTTAATTAAAGCTTAGATTTACTGTCATATTTAAATATATTGTTTGTTTATTATTAATATAAATAAACAACAGATGATAGAGATTAAAAAAAGATTTAGTTATTTTACCACTTTTATTATTTCTTTTGCTGCTGTACTTAAAAAGAGCAAACTTTATTTTGACAAATAAAATAAATTTAAGAAAACACCAGGTTTTCTCAACCATACTTGTCAAGAAAAATTAACAGAACAGATCGAATGATCTTGTAGATATAGCAACAAATTTTATTATCCCAGGTCGCAATTCTATCATTCACGGCACATCCATTAATTTCAATCTTTATAGAAAGCTATGTGGAGACATCTTTTTGTCAGCATATGTTTCTCGGCATCTGCCAGCATATGTTTCTTGGCTTCTGCCAGCATATGTTTCTTGGCATCATCCAGCATATGTTTCTTGGCATCTCCCAGCATATGTTTCTTGGCATCATCCAACATATGTTTCTTTCTTTACAAATGTTACCATTTGGATTAAGCCAATAAAAGAGTATGTTTCAAGCCGATTATTGCAGTCAAATCCAAGGCAGATTACGACATATCTCCTGAAGTCACTTCCTATTTTACAGAGGTGTGTTACTTGAGCAAGGCCAAGGGTCCGAACTCAGAAAACCGTCGTTGTGCAACAGAGAGAGTGGAAGCAGTAACGGGCCTTGATATTTTGTATGATGACTTCCAGAAGAAAACATTAGAGAGCATGCAGGCATCAGACTTTCGCAAGTCCTGTGGCCAGAAATACACTTGTAATGGTGAACCAGACTGTGAGACTAGGTAAGTTATTGCCTTTTTATACGTTAAATATTCCCTCTATATTCCAACACTATTCTCCAACACAAAAATTTTTGGTAATTTTTGGTACGGTACTCCTTTAAGATTGAATCTAAAGATTGAATATAATTATCTGATTTTAAAATGGCTCAGTGATTAAAAAAAAACAGTTTTTAAATTAATTTATTTTATATTTAATTTTATATTTAAATTTGAACATTCTATTTTGAAACTAAATCAAAATAAATTCAAGTTGTTTACTGAAAGAATTAAAAAAAATTTAAAATTTAACTATCTAAATTTCCCACTACGGATGAGCCTACATCAATATAACACAAAGTCAGGAATGTGACATCATGCAGGGTTAGGGTTTGCTATTTGGTGGGTGCAGAAAGACACTTACAAATTTGTTGATGAAATCTACACCTTTTAAAAGTCTTATTTTCTGAGAAATGTTTAAACTCTGACTTTAGCCTAAAAGTCCAACAGCTGTGTGATGTTTCTTGCTTAGAGATTACATTAAAGAGGGTTTTAAAGTTTTGTAATATTCATTATTATTATCCTAAATACACTACTCTCATTCCAGATGTTATTTATTTGATTCATCTGCCTATCTGGTAATGGATCCAGATTTTCTAACGGCCAATGCACTTGATGAGTCCCAGTACCAAACCGTTACACTGGGCCGCAAGGAGGGGGAAGTCATGAAACATCTTGTTTACTATCACAAATTTTTCAAACGGGAGGAGTCCATTGATTTTCAAGGCTCCTGCCGCATTTCTGCAGATGAGCCAAAGGTGCTGGCCAAACAATTATTCTGTAGCTAGAAATGCATGAGCTTGCCAGCTAGTAAAGTTACTTGTGTTTAGAATTACATTCAAAAGCTTTTATCTCTGGTTTGCTTAACACTACAAAGCTAAACTTTTGTAGAAAATGTTATCTAAATTGGGGCTTTAAATCTGTAAAAAGGAAATGTAGGATTACTTTAAAAATTGTGTAAACATGCTAAGTGAAATTTCAAATCGGCAATAATAAAAAATAAAAAGATGGTGGCATAACAATTCAGTTGAAATGTTTTTGAGTTTTAAAAATAAATGTTCATGTTGTGAATGATGTTAAAAATAGTGAGGTCATAACAATATTTATCTCTGTTCAGGTGACGTTGGATGGCCTGCCACAAACGCCAGAGGACACCGACGACTACTACAAAAATAGAGGGAAAATTCCCAAATTTTATAATGACTTTGGTTGCATCCAGGATGTTGTCAGCTACAGAGCTGATGATGCAGCATTAGGTCAGTAGTTCAGTTACTTTATTCCCCACCTCATTCCATTACACAAATACAATGCCTTCCAGAATTTATTGATGATTTTTGTCAGAATGACAATTTCTGTTTAATAAAATGGTAACTAGTGTCACTCGATTAAAGAGACTTAAAACAATCTATTTTGCAATGATTTAATTATGTTTTTCTTTCAGTTTGTTTCAGACACACTGTTGCTAATTAGTTAGAAATTAGTTCACTGAAACAGGGCACAGAAAGAACAATTTTTCTCTTTGTTTAGGTCCTAGTGGCATGATCACGGGCAATGTGTCGGGACCCTGCATGTCTGGACTGTACTATGTGACGGCTCTGCCCCAGACAAACCTTTACTTGCTGGTGATAGAAGATTGGCTCGTTTACAAGCAGTCGCTCTTCTACAACTTTCACTGCAAAATCACACGCAGGTATGGCGTATGCTGTCATAGTTTTGATTAGATAATATCACACGCAGGTATGGCGTATGCTGTCACAGTTTTGATTTGATAACATCACACGCAGGTATGGCGGATGCTGTCATAGTTTTAATCAGATAACAGACCTGTTCACTCTTATAATTTTGGTGTACAGTGTAGGATTTTGAGATGTCCGTTATGACTGTACGCCAAGACCTGTCAGAAGTGCGTTTTTAAGACACCGGGTTGACAATATATACATTCCGGTAGTTTTTCTGATTGAGATTTTTTTTTAAAATTGTCGTCGGTTAGTTTTAGCTCCTTTCTTCACCCAGCCGTGAATGGATCGAGAACTATGATTGGTTGAGGACAATCTATAATTGTATTATGTTTGTCCTGAGAGGGGAAGGGGGTGGTGTTGCTTTAGGAGATTTTGTGTACGCGTGCCGTGCCGGGGGATGTCTAAATATTTAAGTCTGTAAAAATAACACCTTTCAATTTTATGTAATGATAGTCCTATTGTTGCTTTGTGTTTTCATAATGAAGTCACTAGACAAGGCAATATTAATATTAGTATAGTTGCCCTAGTGAAAATTAATTCAATCCTCACTTTTGTTTGCTTCGATGCCGTGTATCGTAATTTTGTGACATAATTATTTCGTTTGGCTTCACCGTCGCGAGTAAAAAAAAAGAAAAAACTGTATGTTTTGTTTTGTTTGGTTAACAACTGAATGCATTCTCGACTGTTCTGCACAGCAACATTAGATTTCCACATATTTTATAGGATCTCAGAGGGCCTTTGAAATCTATTTTTAGAACACAAAACCGTTCTATGATTTTTTCATAGTAGTTTTCAGACTAGGACTGTGATATGTTAACTGGAAAGAGGCTAAATGGATATTGATTCTTGTTTTGTTTTAAAACCCAGCTTTTTCCTAAAAATAAATCTCAAGTTACTTGGTAGGTTTTGTAAATGACGTCCTCATTTGTTAATTCTTATTTCAAAAAATTTAATGCTGCACCAATTCACGTTTGAACCACGTTAAACTTCACCAGTAAATTTATTTTTACCAGTGACGGACTGATAAGGGTGATCGGTATGTTCACCCAAATATTAATTGATATCTATAGCAGATAAACATCTGCAAAACAAAGTGGCTGCAGACTGCAATAGAAACGTCAGTCATTTAAATTTGGAAGTTACCTCTTTTGACGTCAACTTAACTCGATCCTACTTGACACGTGATACAAGTAGTTATTGTATACATTAAAAATACTGTATGTTTATTTATTTACAGTAGTATTGAAACTGTATTGTCCGATTTTGAGGCCACATTGTACCTGTATAATTTTAGGAATTTGAGGGTAACCAGGTCTGAGGTAATCAAATAACTTGAATTTTCTTTGAAAGAGGCCACAACATTAAATACTTAAAAATATAACAATGCAACAACTCCAGTAATTTGTTTGTTTAGAAACTTTTTAAAAATTTGATCAATGTGATTGAAAGGGGATATAACGCTTGAGTTGATGTTCACTTGCCTTTGATTTTGAGAATAATTAAATGAGTTTGGAACACACAAATTATAAGAAAAATTGAGTTCTAATGAATTGCTCTACAAATTCTAGCACAAGAAATAGAGTATTAACATCTATATCTTATGTCTTACAGCGTGGTCAACAGTGGAGCCTACCGCATCATCAATGGGACTTGTGCTCATGAAGATACCACGGAAAGCACCTTGCGGGATCTCGGGAAATGTCCTAAGCTGAACGATGTTCCTCTAAAATGTCAATTCAATAATACCAAGTTGTTGATGGCGCACATATCAGTTTTGCTGGTAACTTTATTCCTGTCACTTGTTTAATCCCATCTGCAGCAATACTCTGGGTTGTGGCTTGTGAAGCCAGTTGCTCCCTGATCTTCCTTGATGCACATGTTATTCTTCTTATGGTAGACACATTTGGTACTTGTGATAGACACATTTGGTACTTGTGGTAGACACATTTGGTAATTGTGGTAGACACATTTGGTACTTGTGGTAGACAAATTTGATACTTGTGGTATGCTAAAATTAGAATAACAATTGTATCGCATTTGTTTTATTATTGCCTCGAAACAAAACGAACGGCTTTCTTATAGCAATAACATGAAAGTATTAAAAGGTTATTTAAAAATTTGAAGAATTATACATTTCAAGGGCATACATTTCAAGGGTATACATTATAAATGTATAAATGTACCATGTTTATTGTATGCAGTCCTTACTTTAAGTCTATTGTGCCCCAGACTGGTCATGTTATTGTGGAGTTATCTTGTGAAAGTTTTATTGGCTTTCAGATGTTTCATGGTCAAAATACCAGAGGTGAGGGCTCCATCAATCTGTAGGGGAGCTATTTGAAAACATTTGATCAAATCAGGTCACTCAAACACTTACTGATGCATGAGCCATGTGTGATATTTTTTGTTTGGTGTTTGGATCATGTGCAATAGATATCATATATTTTATTAAATGTCTTTTCAATTTATAAATGTTTTCATTTCAGCTGTTTGTAAATAAGTTTTATCTTTGAGTCTCCACATTGTAATGCACAAAAGGTCCTGTTACAAAGGTTTTGTCCAACTTCACTTCAGTGTTTTAGCTGCACGGGTACAGGAGCTTTAATATTTTATAGTGGGACCTACTTAATCTATTGACCAATTTAATATATTGACCTACTTAATCTAATGGCAAATGGTGATAACATTTCATCCCCTTTTTTGTTTCACCTACACTTAAAATTTACATTTACAATGTATTAGGATTATATTGATGAGATTTAAACTAAGTTGTTTGAGTTGACAATTATGATAAAATTTTATTTATAATTACAGCATTTAGCCATGGTATTCTCTTGAGGTGCATATGTGTACAAATCATGGCATATGGGTACAAATCATGGCATATGGGTACAAATCATGGCATGTGGGTACAAATCATGGCATATGTGTACAAATCATGGCATATGGGTACAAATCATGGCATATGTGTAAAAATCATGGCAAATGGGTACAAATCATTGCATATGGATAAAAATTATAATATTTTCAGCAAAAACACAATGTGTGGAAATACCATATTTATTGGCGTATAACATGAACTTTTTCTCCCTGAAAAAATGGGGAAAATGATGTGTGCGTGTTATACGCCGATATGTTTAGCTTTTTTTCCTGAAATTTTCTTCTTAAATTGAGGTGCGTGCTATACGCGGGGGCGTGTTATATGCCATAATTACGGTTATGAAGTTTGAATACACCCACATTTTTGTCCAGTCTATTCCAATAGCCCATAAGGACATTTTTGTCCAGTCTACTCCAATTGCCCATAAGGACATTTTTGTCCAGTCTCCTTCAATAGCCCATAAGGTATACATCAGTCTTAATAGATTCTGTTTGTCATTGCTATTTTTAGTTATTGTAATAATGAGAGTGATTGTAGAATTAAATGTTCTCACATGTCTAATCCCAGCCGATTAGATTCACCTCATTGTAGAAATAACAGTATGAATCAGGCATTCAATCTCAAAAATGTCTTACATTTGAGTTAAAAATTTCTATGAATATTTGCTTAACCTCAAAGAAAAGGAAAGTATAACAAACTGTTCTTATCAAAACAATGCAAAGGAGCATTCATTGAAGAACTTCAAAGAATCTTAGCAAACAGTTGGACAGCTGATTTTTTTGGTCTGCTCCCAAAACTTTATGTTCAGACTTCAGTTTATTTCCTTTGTTGTAGTTGCTTTAAATGGTAGATTTTTTTTAGAGCAATAGAATTTACAGATGGTTTGGTACTCTATTTAAAATGATATGTTGTTATAAATAGATTTGTTATTTTGGGCTTAGGTTTGGTGGAAATATTTAAATATGTATGCTACCTTGTGTCCACTGATAAATTGAAAATGAATGACAATGTTTTTCAAGAATATTTTTTGTAATATTTATTTTTACATCACGTTTATTTTTTAAAAATATTTTTATGTGTCTACATCAATAAATTATTATGAACTGTTTTTTTTTTTTCCTTTTTTCCAAATAATTAGACACAGCATAAGTTGAATTTCTTGAGACATCATAGATAACGAGTTTTATGTGGTAAAGAAATCAAATTGTTCAAATACTCTTGTCTCTTCTGCTGATAATCAAACTTCTGACTCCATAATCTTTGACTGTCTAGTGTTAAATCTTTGACTTATGTGGATGCTAACAGTTTTACAAGCTTAAAAAAATAAAATAATGGGCCTTAGATGAATAAAATGAAACTTACTTTTGCAGAAGACCTTTGATGGGTATTAGCACTCAACAAGTCAACCATATAATTGTTATTTCATTGGTGAATCCATCAAATAGCCAATGACTTCATTTCATCGGTGAATCCATCAAATAGCCAATGACTTCATTTCATCGGTGAATCCATCAAATAGCCAATGACTTCATTTCATCGGTGAATCCATCAAATAGCCAATGACTTCATTTCATCAGTTTTGCTAAGACCATCTCAATAAAAGTAGTGTTTTATTATCCATCATTTTGCCCCCCTCCCCCACCCCGTGGTGCTTCTAAGTATAAGGTATAAATGATAATAAATTCGCATTTAAGATATAAAAATAAATTATAATACTTTTATACTTAGTAAAAATAATATAAGTGCAATATCTTATTACCTCTAGCTTACCTCTTATGATGACCATGCCCAGTATTTTAAATTCTATTTATATCTGTGATTCATCAGGTAACTAAATGATCTCTTATTGTTACAGTATGTTGATTATGATATGATATTTTTCAGCTTTTGATATTAACAAAGTTATATGGATGGATTTTCAAAGGTTAAATAGAAATAAGCATTTTCCTTTGCATGTGTGTGCATACGTTTTCATTCCAAAATCTTAATTTTTACATTTTAAAAAGAGTTTTAATTTTAAATTATTTGTTGTGAATTTAAATAAAATTGTGTTTAAAGAAATTGTCATGAAGTACATCGAGCTTTGTCATTCCTCTATGAGGTAACAGTAGAAGTAGAAATACATTTGTCTGATTTTTTAAAATAAAAAGAATGGCTATATATACAAAATGTTCTGGTTATTCAATTCTTCCGCCATAGATGCATTGAAGATTTTCTAAATGGAAGGGAAGTCTTAAGTCTTCAATTTATTTGGATTTTTTGCTTAGATACATTAATGCATTATAATTCAAGTTTTAATATATTTCATTTTAAGAAAGAAAAATTCTTAAGCAGATTAATTTTGAAAGAATGCAATATAAACCATGCAAGCCATTTTTATTTGTTTATTATTTTTGGAAAATCTGAACATGTTTATAAATTTCAATACAAAGATTATGCTTAGAATACCTGTACACTGAAAGTACATATGTAACATATATAGGATTAAGGTCCTATAATGATGAAATGATAAAAAACATGGTACAATATTAAACTTTCTCAGATGGACGGATTATGTTTTAAGATCTGAAAACTTTTTATATATAATATAAATACAATTTAAAAATTGTTCTATTATAAAATTATATTCATGAAGTCACCTTATCATTCCTCCCAAACTGTACTTCTTTCTTAATACAGAAGAGAGTTATCTTAAAACTGAAGTTTTCAGTGGACTGTAATGCTGAAATGATTTATTTTTTAAGTTACCTTTATCAAATCTTGCTGCAAAAATAGTAGAGAATAATTGTTTTGAATAAAAAAAAAAGAAAGATAAGTAAGTATTTAATTATTTGTCCTATGTTTTCAAATCCCTATCGACGCTGTTATATTGAAATCTTAGGGTTTATCAGACCCCACCCTTAAAAAAATGGCAAAAGTTTCGTTTTGATATTAAGGAGATATGTACAAAGTATGGACTAGTTAAAAAAAAATTCTAACATTAGTAACTTTTCGGTAGAAGAAATTAACAAGACACTGAATCTAACAAACAACAATTATATTAATAGAGAATAATCACAGATCAGCTTTTTAAGAAGTGCATTTAAATGAATAGCTGCACTCATTGTAGGAGTTTTAAAATAAAATCAAACAACTGCCTCTGTAGCAGCAAATTTTCCTCCACCATTCTAACCCCTAAAATGTTTATATTATAATGTATGTGTACCCGGCATTCAATAAAAAGCAATTAAATCTTTTAAAAAAAATTTAAGCTTTTTAACACATTTTCATATAGAGCTAGTTGAGTAGTAGTTGCCAAATACATATTGCGATCCTGTAACATCTTATGCCTTCTGCAAATAATACAGTCATAATTTTCATAACAGTTGGATTACAAAACATATTTAACTAAGTCAAATTTACTCATCCAAAAAGGTTACAAGTCCATTTCTGCCACAGGTAAAAAGTTGACCTCTGGACAGAATAATTGTATGCACATGTTTTTAAGAATGTAGTTTTGACAGTTTAAAGAGGAATGCAATTAAATTAATATTAGGTTCACTTATTACACCAGTAAGTTACCTACTCCAACCACCAACACTGCTCTTAGGAGAGGATCAGAGTGTATTTTTGTCACTTAGCTTAGTTTTCTGTTGCACAAACAATATAATTTAAGAAATTACAACTTTCAGTGGCACATGTAAAAATGGAGTACAATGAAGATCTGTCACCAAAACGCATTGTTATGACATGCCTCCTTCATACTGTGGTTCCTGAAGTCAGATAAGATATACTAGATGAAATTAACGTTTAATCTTAATATTATTGATACAATAAAAATTCTTTAAAAAATAAAATCAACCCCACCCCCCCAGGGAACCATTGCTATGGGTTAATTCTTATTGTACCTGGTTTAATTTCTTAAATTCTACAATCTGTGTAAAGACATGCTCCAGAATGTGCTTAGCTGTACGGCTCTCTTGGGGTAAATGGTGAGTGACTCCCAGGATATCCCCACATTCCCGGACATAGTATTCGAGGTCCTCATCAGTACCTGCAGTGAAAGCACACAAATTATGGATATACATTGTTATTTTTTTAATATTTTGAATAAATTGATACCACTGCTCTGAATGACCTGAAATCCATTTGATAACTTTAACATTACCAGCAACAAAAATATTTGAAATCAAAGATAAAAATAAAATGTTATGGGAACACAAAACCACTTTCCATAGTCATATAACGAATTACCATAATCCTTTAATTAAAAACTATAATGTTATTCTCGCAAGACATTATGTGGAGAAAGAAGAATGTAACTATTTTTTTTGAAGTCCCAAACATTCCTTACATTTATTAGTGATTTGTGCGATTCTGACTTTCTCTGAAGAAAACTGCTCATCTAGATCAAAGAGCTCTAGTGCTGGAGGAGGCAACTCTCTGAATGATGGGGGAAATACCTAAAGAAAACAACACATTCCAAGACAAAAGAATTAAAAAAATTGTGAGTCAAAAAATAAAAGAAGCATGTCTATACTAACAGATAAATATATTATGGCAATTATTTATTGAATATAAGTATAAGCCAATAAATACATTTGAAAATTAATTTTTTGCAAATCTAATATATAACACAAAACTCCAAACATTCAAGGTTGGTTAACATGATACACTTATTTAGGTCTTAACATTAAAATTTTACCGATATTGCTACCAAAAGGTGAGCACAAATAAAACACTTAGAAAAGGTACTATTTTGTAATCAAACCGACTTACAGCTGGATTCAGGGGAGGGAGTGGCGTTTCAAACTGTGGTGTGATTAGTGTCAAAGGTTCATGTTTAACTTTGAGGTCCTCAAATGCTCTGAAATATGACAACATGGAGAGGGAAATGTAACCAGGGACAGGTCCATCAAAATATATTTCCTGTGTTTGAAATTACATCAGGACTCATCCACGGTCATCTTGTATTTGAAACACAGAGCATTCAGTGATGTAATCATGATATATAAGTAATAGGGGAAGGCAGATTCAGTGGTGTAATCATGATACATAGTAGGGGAAGGTGGGATGATTCAGTGATGTAATCATGATATATAAGTAATAGGGGAAGGTGGGAAGCACTTAGGGTCAGACTTAGCAGAGGAAAAATAAGGGTGCCCATCTGGAGAATGTTGAATGGGTGAACTTTGAAGCTTTGCTAAAAAATCTTGATAGAAACTGTGCTTCCAAGTTTTTGTTTGATGAAAAATCAATGTAAGGCTCTGCACCAGTTTTAAAGTTGGTCAGATCTATTTTTAAAATAGGTCTGAATCATCTTTAAATAATTTTTATAATAAAAGTATAAATTAAACTCACTTAATAGCTTTAGGAACAAGAGAAGTGTCTAGTTTGAACATTGAGTTGTCAAAAAGTGTAGTAATGTCCCTTGGAATGTCATCACTTTCTTGTAAACATGTCTTCAACTGCTCAGACAATCTTGCAATGTCTGGTAACTGGTTGTAATCAGAAATCTGCATGGAGATAATAAAATTAAAAAAACCAACATGTTTAATATTTAATAACTTAAAGACATAAGTTTACAAATACTTAGATATCCCACTCAAGACCTTACTTTTTCAAGATGAGTAAAGTAATTATATTTCATTAAAGGAAACAAAATAGTGGATTAGATTTCAAGTACTCCACAGAAAATCTTAAAGAGCAAAATGAAAAAATATATATAGGAGTATATACATAAATTGTTACCTCAGGATCTTCAGCATCTATTGCGTTCAGTTTAAGGTCATCTGTTGTTAGAAACTGTATCACCACATCCTGTCAATTAGAATAAGATAATCAAAAGCTGATTGGGTTTTCCCCCCTCCAACACCAAGATTTTAAATTTTTCCGCAGATTATCACCAAAAAAAAAACAAACAAAACAAAACAAGAAGATAAATAGATACTCAAACAATTAAATATAATATCCAAATGTGTTTACGCTCCAAAGGAATTGAGAAACTTACCAAAATTTTCAGATTTTCTTCCTTTTCAATGTATTGATCACTGAACATATGCACAGAGCCAAGCACTGCTATCTTTCCTTTGTGATGCTATAGATTTAAACATTTGTCACTTAAGTGTTTCATTTTAAATATAACCGGAAAGGGATTTTTTCATTATACTAATCAATAATGATCCATAAATAATTCTCTGGCTAATGAACTGTAAGTGAGCTTTGGGATTGCTGCAATCATTTTAAAAGACATTTTATAAAGACAGATTCAGTCATAACATTTGATCGTATTTAAAACATTAAAAATATTCCCTGGCAGTCTCATATCTATCAAAATAATTATAAATTTTATTACTGGTAATGAATAAGGACCACACAAAGACTTTTAAACCTGTTGGAAACACTCATTTAACATAGCATCATTATTGCTTCACCATAAGTATTGCTGATCCATTTCAAATATTAAACAACTGCAATTCTGTTAGGATATCTGTTAATTACCCTGGATGAGTAGAATGCACAAACTGGTCTGTTGAGTGGAAAACAAACACTTCCTGTGGACAGTACGGCTGTTGCAGGTTTCTGGACATTTATTGTAGCTCCATATGGGTATAAGAAAGAGAGTGCTCTGTAATCACAAACACATAAATATCATTTATGAGTACTGCACAGTATTAAAATTATGCATGCTCATGTGGAAAAAAAATATTTGTGACATTGTCTGAAGAAAGTCTGAATTTATTAATACTTCATTACACACACATTTTCAAAATGATTATTTTTAAACATTTTTGTTTACAAGGCCCCAGAAAGCACTACTTACTGGGCATTGTTACCATCTTCATCCCCTGCTCCAAACATCACCTTACCGGCAGCCTGGCTGATTGCTCTTTAAAAAAAAAAATTATTTACGATTTGAAACATTTCTTAACATCAAAACACTGTTGTAACCTTGCAGATTAAAATGTTGGTGTTTAAAAAAAAAAACCCACATATGTATTTACGATAAAAAATTAAAGAGTACCCACGTCCTCTTGCTGTCCTTCCGAATACCACTTTTCAACAAAGTGTTTATTTTAATTTATGTTTTTGGGTAACTCCTTGTTTGTTCACTGAAGAAGGCTTCTTGCCACCATCTTGCCACCATGTTTCCTGTTTTGCTGAGTCCTTTTTTCAGGTTTTCCCATACCTTGTTTTAAACAATTCCTTGAGAAAGTAATAGCTTAAAAATAGAACAGGACAGAAAAGTAAAATATTACCTATTTAAAACACCATTTGTCACCAAGGCTTCTTTTGGGTGGAAATATTTGTAGTAAGAAGTCCTGACAACAGAATCTAAGGGGAAACAAATACAATAAATCTGAAAGTGTATTGAACCAAACGACATAATAATTTGTTTCAATGCCGGCCAAACTTAAAATTATGCCTTAACTTTAAATTAGCACAATGTTTCGACTCACCATTATTGACAAATATTCCATACTCTTCTAGAAAGAAATTTATGTTTGTTTCAAAACGTGCCTCTCCCCCTTCACCAAGTAAAACCAACACACTACCTCCTGACTCCACATAGGCTTTCATGGCAGTGAGCTGAAAATTGTTTTAAAAAACAAAAACAAATATATTCTGATTTCGTGAAACAAATTCTTAAAAAGTTAAACTTTTTAAAAATAAAATGTAATCTAAGACAAAAAAAAAATTCAAACAGAAAGTTGCTTAGTTACACAAACATGACAAAAGTAGGATTTAGAAAAATGTCAATCTAAAAAGCAGTAAAAAGTATGCTTCATAAAATAATTGAGAGACAATTGTTCTTTATCTTTGGTCTCTAAAATTCAAAGATCAGAAAGCATTAACAAGTACCGTACTAAGAAGAAATGTATAAGAACAAAGTCTAAATACGTGAATAAAATATATTAGAGGCAAATTATTGACTTAAATCTTGACTTCAATAATCACGCCGAAGCAAGATTATAACTCTAATCAATGCTCACCTCTGCAGCTGTGAATTTTTCTTTTGAACCAGGAAGAACAAAGATTCTGGCTTGGCTTAGCTTGTCAGGAGATATATCATCTTTGTTTCTATTCAATTTATAGATAAATTATGGTCATATCTGCACTTATTGTCCTTAAAATCATGCTACAAATATTTGCTTGTTTTCTTCATAATATGAAAAAAGTTCCATTTAATGCTTAAACGTACACAAAATTTACAGCCACTTGATTATTGCAGCACATTTGCTGCTCCATAATAATTAAATGTGCCTATTGGGAAATATATAACAGAGATTATACTGTTAAAATACTTTCAACAAAAAATGTAAGCTATAGACTATAGCATAAATGCAACAATTAATGTACACTTAGATTGTGATGATAGTAAGTTGTTTTATAGGAGTCCCATTACAACCACAATAAAATACTTAGCATTTTAGAGGCCCAAGCAATAACCATTAAAAAAAAGAAAATGCAAAATTAATGTCACACATTTTGGTACATCGTAAATTTTTTTGTTAACTTACACAACAAGTCGCCACATGGATTTCAATTTTCGGTTTAAAGTCTTTAAGCCATTATTGAGGCTATATAACTCCCTCTTTGTGGCGTTGAACAGAATGGTATTTCTTGAACTTTTTTCATCTCCACCCTGGAAATTTGTAACAGATGCAAGGGGAATGTAAATTTGATCAAAAGTTTAGAAAACACACATCTTTTTGATTCCCATACAAATACGGTTGTAGTAAGGTTGAGCATTAAATGTCCTTACACTTGAGATTTTGTCTCAATGAATTATGAATCACCTGAAAATTGAATCAGTCTTAGTCTTAGTGTTAAAACTTTTATTGTTGCTATACATACACATGTAACACTAACAATGGCAGAATCAAACAAGGCCTATATAATATACTAAATGCACATGATTAAATTATGTGATTGTTAAGGAATTGGAGCCATCGAGAATAAAGTATTATCTTGGTGGAGTGTATCAAAACTTAGCTCACAATGATAAACATGGGAAATACAAGTGAGCTTAGGATACAAGGAATCATTTGGGTGGGGCAAGGATATAAATAGTGGATCGGTGTTAGCAGGAGCTCTTGCAGTCCTAGTGCAGTTCATGTTCAGTTGAGTCTTAGTCCAGTTCATAATGTGATTTTGACAGTTTGGACGTAGTTGGTGTTAGTAAGATAGGACATATTGCAAACAACCGGATCATTTGACAGAGTCTGTTTTTTAGACCAGACCTAGTAGTGTAAAGTGTAGAATAAATATTGGTAGAACATATGAGTGAGAATTAATAGTGCACATAGAAATTAAACTGTATATATATATTATATTATTATAGACAATAGTTTGTGATTAGGGCTAGGCAAATGCACAGTGTTTTGTTGGCAAAAATACTTAGTATAATTGCTGAAGATTTTAAGAAGAGTGGTTTGATAATTTTGAATAAGAATTGGAATTCATAGTCATAGACGTCATAGTGTAGGAGTGTAGGCACTTTGGTAAAGCAAAGGAGACTACTTCAAAATATATGGGAAATGGGAGTCAGCACAGAATAATACTTGAATTTAAATACATTTCAATGGGATACATTATTTGGGCTAGCAAAAGTTTTGGTTTAAGAACTGAGAGAGAGTGGATCAGAAGTTCGTTGAAGTTACCGTAAAGGGAAGCGTTATCCGCAGTCGGCTGCGTATAACCCTGAGAGTTATACGCAGTCGACTGCGCATAACCCTGTGGGTTATTCCCAGCTGACTGCGTATAACTCTCAGGGTTATTCGCAGTCGGCTGGGAATTTAGCCAAATAAGGTTTATTACCGCTAGTTTGGCAATTAAAAAAAAAAGTATTATGTGTAATTAGCCGCATGATGGGTTGTTTTGAACTGTAACTTTATATGTGTTTAACGTAAAATTGTAATTGAATTAATTTTAATTAATAATGAAATTGAATGATAGTAATAGTATTAGTATTAGTGGTATTATAAGTATTATTGCTTGTATCTTATATATTATAATTATAAGTCAAAGTCTACATTTCTTAGAGTCTAAGCCTAAGTCTAAGATTTTTTAAAAGGCATTTCCATGGTCTAAGTCTAGTTATGTATTCCGATTGATTGATTAGGTTTTTATATGTTGCTATGTCTATGTGGTTGGTTTTACTGACTAATTCAGGAAATACATTCTATTTATTTTTTTAAAAATTATATCATTTATGATTATTTTTTTTTATGACCAAAATGTAACAGTTTTCAGCTTCCATGCAAAACTATAACTGTGTGAAAGTATTACTTACAGTGCCCCCTCTACAGAACCCCCTGCCCCTACAGCGATTTTCTTACTGCTGCTCTCCACCCATGATTATATTTATTACTCTACCAGAGAAACATGATCTTATCTGCCACAAAATTAGTTAACAACACAAAATATATGTTAACAGCACAAACATATATTATGATAATTATAAGTATAACATTATTAACATTACATTAGTCAAGTTAATTCGTATAATGTTTAAACATTTTTTAGCCAAAACAAAAATTAAATAATAAGCGGAGTTGTTTTTTGGTTCATTCTCGAGAACAAACATAGCAACTAACCCGTTGGCTTTCCGTTGGCTGGAATTGAACTCCTGACCATCAACTTCGGGTTTGGTCAGTTTATACCATTCGACCACCCAGTCACCCCAATAACGACGTACCCTTATTGATTGATACTGTAACACAGGAAGAATATAGACGTCATGTGACTTGCCGACTGCGTATAACTCTCAGGGTTATACGCAGTCGGCTGCGCATAACCACTTCGTACCGTAAATAGTAAATAGGTTCCATGACCACTCATAGGACCACCGTGGCTGTTACTGTGTTGTTATTACTGACACTATACTATATGACTATACTATTAGTATACTATGACTATACTATACTTCACTATACTAGTATACTAATTAATAGTATACTAAAACTATATTATTATATTATATTTATATATTGGTCAATATAGTCAATATAATATAGTATACTGAGAGAGTTAGTATTTGAAGTGAGTATTGACTCCTTTTGCCATTTGTGTACACTATACAGGTACAAAATCATTCTTACTACATCAAATTGTGATCGTAAAACCCAACAGTCGTCCAATGTTAGGAAAAATGCCTGACAGTGAAACAAATGTTTTAGCCTACATTAGGTTATGATTAAATTACCTCTGTTGTGGGCGCCATGGTGGCTTGGTTAGAAACTATGTACAACGGGACGACGGGAAGGGTGTAACGCAGAAAATATTTTACGGACATAACTGTTATTTACAAAGCAAAATTTTCTTAATCAGTTATGGATAAAAATATTTTAAAGGAAAGCATTCTATGCTCATAATTATTTAGAAACATTATTTCAACTAAACGTAATATTCCTCAATATTTATATGTTGCTATGATATATTTTGTTGGTGTCAAAGGTCACTATTGTTTTAAAAACAATGTGCAAGAGGCGTGGCTCACATGGGGGGCGTTATCAATAAACAATAATAAAATTGTATCCGCATTTTGTTTGAACTGTTGATCACATATAAAAAAAAAGGTAAATCATTTTCTTAAAGCAGACTGTTTAAAACAAGACTAGTAGTTTAAAAAAAAATATCCGTGATAGATTGTATAATTATATTTAATAAATAAGTCAAAACAGTGAGTGACGAGAAGTTAGTGAGAGTCAGTTGTCAGTGGTGAGTTCATTCTACTGATGACTACTGCCTGGGTAGAGGAAAACAAAGAATCGTCGTGTATTTAGAAAAAAAAAGTGTTTATCATGCCCATATTCAACCTAACGTCATACATTAAAAGACAGAACTCGCATTGTTAAGAGAGAAAAATTAGTATCCCTAACACTACAGTATGCAGCGACGTCCGGCGACGAATATTTAAAAATATAAAGATAAACAAAAATTTTGACTTCCTGATTCTAATTCTAGAGTATTTATATTAATAACAAATATGGGCACGGGTTCTAGGACATGAAAAGAAAGTAAAACAAAAAGACACATTCTAATCAGTAATACATTAGTCTTAGTCTAGTTCTGCATATTTAGCTTAATGTTTTGTAGGCTTTCTCATATAGGCCTATGCTACAGCCCAAGGGTGTAAGTGTAGTATAATAGGATTATAAAGCATGGACATTGATGTCACGAAGGTTTATTGATATTTGGACGAAAATCTCCATTCATTCATTTAAACTCATCAGACTTTAATCAGGAATAAGGCTATGACTATGAAATTTTGGCAGTGTGTCGTGGTTCATAAACCCTGACAACTCCTGAGACTGCTTAACAAAATTTGCTGATGCAAGTTAACATATGATTCATGATATATGAAATGCTTATGTATAGGCAAAGCCATCATAGAGGAGTTAATTAATTGAAATTACAAAAAGAAAGAATGGTCATTGTGCATTGTAATATTTAATATAAATTGTATGGAATAATAATGCATAGTCTGGTGATAGTCCACATCATTTTTGCGTAATTTTTAAAATATTATTTATGACCACATCTGCTTTTTAGAACTCCATTGCCACCGGGCCCGGAAAGGAAGGGTCTGGGGGTGGTGGATGTAAATAATACGCATATTACACCATAACTGGTATACAAAATAGTATAAATGTTTACATTGTCACATACTCAAAAATTCATTTAAACATATTTTATATTTTATTTGACACAATCCTAATAGTGAAGACTAGTCGAAGAAAATAATTAAAACAAATTATACATCTTGTAAATTGAATTTTGATCAATTAGCCTTAATTTAAAAAGTTCTTAGGTTAAAAAATGCTTAGTTTTTTCTGACTTTAAATTGTATATTCATTAAAAGATATTAAGTATGTACAAATTTAATTTTGCAAAAAAAGTTTCAGTAGATAACAGAACCAAAAGTTGAGCCTCTCAAGAGATACAGTAAACTAAAAAAACATAAATAAACTTATGTTATCATAAAACACTTATGCTAATAAAAAAATAAATCTTTAAGCAGTGTCTATGACAATGTCAAAATTTTTCTTTTCAATGTAACATGATTTTTATGTTGTCAATTGGAATGTATTTGACCAATACATTGTCTTCCATAAATTATTATGTAAATAATCTTTTCTCAGTCTTGCATTTCTCAAACAAAATAGACACAACTATTAAACAAATTTAATGCATGAACAATTTTTATTTTGAATGTAATCGAATAAAGGAAAGTTAAAAAAAAGTAAGTCCCATCTCTAAATTAGTTTAAATATATGCAAAAGGAAACAAACATTTTGGCCTACTTGCATTAAAAACTAGGAACTTTTTGCAATTTATCAGGTTTTCATTTCTAAGATTGGAAAATGTCCTGTCCCTTTGTTACTAATTTTAGACAATTTTTTCATAAAACATGGCTTCTAAAAATGTATTTCCACATATATCTAGCAGTAGCAATTTATTTGTCAAATTATTCATAAAACAAAGTTGTAAACAAATTTTCAGCCAAGGTTAAAATTCATTAAGCTGGCTCACATTAACATGGAAGAACTAAACAGCTTTTGAGAGTTTGCCCAAACTAAGTTCCAGGATGTTTTATTAATATCTTTTGGCCATTTGATGAGATTGCCAGACTGTGCACCCCTAAGTTCTATTAATAGATTTCCACCATTAAATGACAAAACCATTTGATATGAAAAACTGTTAAAATAAATAATTTTTCAACTTTTTTGAGATGTTCAACTGGTGCTTTAATTAAATTTTTCTTGAACCAATTAAATCAATACAAATCGCCCACTGAGCTATAAACATTTGTTTTCTAAAAAAAAAAACAAACTGAAATGGTTTATGACATGTTTACAGACATATTTTAAAAATTATTTGTGAAAATTTTAAATTTAGTTTAAATTAAACAACAGGACTTAGGAACCAGCTAGGAACTTGTTAACTTTTTAGCAATATTTAACCATAGCAACATGTAACCATAGCTGCGTCTAGCTTTAGCAAGATATCAACTCATGATGATGAGCCAAGTATTACTGTGATGTAGTAAGCATGCAGCCAGTTCAATTGGCTGAAGAATAAACTTTTAGTTACAGTCAGACAGTATTATTACTTTTTACTTTAATTTAATAGACTTTCATGTTTTTTCAGGATAAAAATGAGCAATTCAAGTGAGGATGTTTCAGATCCATCAAAAACACAAGCAACAATTTCTGATCATCAAACATGGGAGAAAGAAAAGAAGTTTGTGGTAAGTGTAAATTAAACTTTACTGGGAGTATTTCTTTTAAGTCGCTGGTGTCCAGCTTAGTGTAGGGCATGAGGTTAGACTGATAATCTAGAGCCCTCTCAAATGTAATAGATACTGAAAAAAGTGAACAGTATATGAAATCAAAGAATCACTTTTAACAATATTTTTATCATGGAAGTGAGGATTTCTATTATCTAAATCCTAAAAAAGGAATATTTACAATGTTATTTGTAAACAAAGCATATTTCCATGGATGTGGATCAATTGAAGATTATCTGAATCTATCTTATCTATCATAATCAATTGAAGATTATCTGAATCTATCTTATCTATCATATGGTTTTAATGCTCCAGAGGAGGGCAGTCACCTTTGTCAAGGTCATCTGGAAGAATGCCTCGGCCAAAACTTTATTTACATGTTTGAATGATGGATTGTAAAATAAGTATTTTCTTAAATTTAATATGTTGACTTGGTGGGAGAATTAAAAGTATTGAAAAGCAAAGCCATGACATTATTCGGGATATGTAAAAAATGGTGGGGGATTGTTATTGAATATAAAGGCCCACAAAGGTTGACAAGAAATCTGTTCCTTGCTGAATAGTGAACACCATTATTTTGTTCATGAACTATGGCTAGATGAGGAAAGTGGATCTAGTTTGTTCATATCTCTCATACTGATGAACTCTTTATATTAAAGTAATTTTAAAGTGGACGCTCTGGAGCATCATTTCAGGTTGTTTCAGGGGGAGGGAGAGGCAAAAAAACAAAACTTGGTTGGCTTGTTAAGTTGTTTATTACTGGAAGCGTCACAGTGCATAGCAATTTAAATAAAACCCTCAAATTCAGGGCAAGGGGGCAAATGCCCTACCCAAATGACGTCCCTCTGGACACTTATTCCAACAAAAGTTTTATTTAAAAAGTTATGTAAGTTAAGTATAATCATTATCCTTACAGAGGCGTAGCGAGGGGGGGGGCAGTGGGACAGATGTCCCGGGGCGCCAGCTAGTTAGGGGCGCTAAAATGTGCTTTGATATTATATTATTGGTAAAAATAATGGGTTTGAGAGTTGAAAAAAAGAAAAAGGGGAGGTTTAAAATTGATCTTGTCCCCGGCGTGAATCTTGTCCCCTGGCGCCAGACACCCACGCTACGCGTCTGTATCCTTTTTCAATGAATAAATATCTTTTTAAATAGGATTTTAATAAAAATTTCCCCTGCTTCAAGTCATAGTCCGGTGTTGAAAGAATTATTACACTTATAGACAATAACTTCTTTCTATGAAAACGGAATTCCAAGGATCGTTCTTAAATACAATCTATCAACAATTGATCTACTGTTTAATTTATCAGTTGGTTATGACAAAGATGACTTCTGTTTTTTTCCCTTTGTAACATTGTTGGTTCAAAGAGGCTTCTTCCTTCCGCAGAATCATGGTCATACTTAATTTAAAAGGGAGAAAAATCTAAAAGTTGAAATGCATCGTAGTATTTTAAGTAGTTACCTCTCTTAATTTTAAATTTATTGTTTCATTGTTAAAAGAATTTTAAAAAAAAAAAACAAAAAAAAAACTCTTTCTTCCAAACTTATGTGTCTAGTTTGTCGGTGAAAATAATTAAGTATTTATTTATCTCTTAAATTCTTAAATAAAATTGGTGCTCTTATTTTGGTGCACTTATTTTGGTGAATGGTTTACACTTTTGCCGTGGTCTTCGGGACCCATATTTGAACTCTCGCCATTTTCTTAGAGACTACACTTCCGCAAGAAAATATTTCAATTGATTTAACCAACCCAAACAGATAAAATAATAAGTGAAAGAAATTAAATAATAATAATTTCAAAAGCGTTCCTGAAAATATCGTCTGCGTGGCAGGTCGCTAGAGCATCGACCGGGCCAGTTGTAGAGATGCTGACTTTGACCTTCAGAAACAAGTTGAATGACGTCATACATGGAATAAGTATAGCCAACCATGGGCGTTTGGTCAATACATTGACTGAAGCCAGGTGACGGTTA